CGTCGATGTTGTACACAAATTCTATCAGGTTTATTTTAGATGTGTAGGTCGCTGAGTGACACTTTTTGATGTTGAGTGGTAAGTTATTCGCAGTGCACCAAGTGGCTACCTTGTCAATGTCATTTTGAAGTGTTTGACAGTCATTTATCGAATTAATGGGACGAAATAACTTCAGATCATCAGCAAAGAGAAGAATCCTACTTGAAATATTTTGCGTAATATCGTTTATATACAGAGAAAACAGCAATGGAGCTAAATTACTCCCCTGTGGTGCTCCACTACTGGCTATAAATTATTGCGACTTGTGACCTCTGTATTCAACATATAGTGAGCGACCTGTGAGATACGAGCTGAAAAAGTTCAACAAATCCTCATCGAATCCCAAGTTTCTCAGCTTTAAAATTAGTATTGTGTGATCCATCTTGTCGAAGGCCTTTGAGAAATCTGTATATATCGTGTCAACTTGAGATTGAGCGTCGATAGCATCGCAGACCATTTGTGTGAAACACATCAAGTTAGTGATGGTTGATCGTTTGTTTATGAATCCATGTTGTTCTAAAACTATTTTGTTGTTCACTTTTGGGGACAATCTATTATATACACAGATTTCAAATGCCTTTGCAAAGTTTGACAATAATGTGATTGGCCTGTAGTTCGTTATGTCATTGAGTGAGCCATTTTTGAAAATTGGGCAAATTTTTGATGTTTTCCAATCGTCTGGAAATTTAGATGATCCTAGGGCAATATTAAATATGATTTGTTATGGTCTAGCCAAGACATATGCACAATCTTTAATGAAAAAACTTGGGATGTTATCGTACCCACAAGTGTGCTTTGCTTTCATGTTTTTCAGAACGCTGAGTACTTCATGTTCGTTCAGGTCTCTTATGGACACTTGTAAGCAATTTACTGAGGACTTATCTATAAATGCATCATCATCATTCTCATTATCATCAGAAATGGTGTAGACGCTACTGAAGAAGTCTGCAAAAGCATTTACAATATCTGAAGGCTTATTGAATTCAGTATTATTCAAATATAGTAAACCAGGAATTCTCGAAGATCCCTTTTTGCTATGGATGAACGACCAAAACTTTGATGTATCAGACTTTATAGATTCCTCGGTAGTTTTGATGTATCTTAAGCTATTTGGATTTTTGATTTTATTGAGCGCCTTAGTGATTTGAATCTTTGCCTAACAATTTCAGAGTTCGTTGACTTCAATTCCTTGAAAACCTAATTTTTTTGTTTGATTTCGCATATTATCTCCTTGGAAAACCAGGAAGGGTATTTTCTAATGAAGTTTCGCCTCATTGGTACACATTGATCCAATATGTTATAAAGAGTGTCATAAAATTGTTTCAGTGCAACATTTACATCAGAAAAGGATTCCAAGAACTCCCAGTTAGTATAAAGCATATGGGAATATAATAACTCAAAGTTGGCTCTCCGAAAATTATAGCTAGTTGCCCGAATATTATGTGAGATAACTGGTTGAGGCACAGCAGAGCTTATTTCCACACATAGAGCTGGATGATAAACGTCTTCAATCACCATTGGTACCTCGTCATGAGATACATTACATTCAATGTTTGAAAAAATCAAGTCTAGTAGGCGTTCCGAATTATTGAGTATTCTGTTTTGTTGCTTAAATTCATAAAAACTCATAAGTTGCTCAAGATTCTGAAGGTTAAAGTTATTCGAGTAGGCAGGATTTTCAATATTCACAAAATTTGGTTGATTGAAATCACCCAGAATTATAATATTACTATCATATATATAGTCAAGAGTTGCCAGCGTGTCGAAAAGATTCTGAATGTGAGCATTTGCTGCATTCGGTGGGATGTAAATCACGAACGCATAAAACACCTTATGATTATATATAAGCTTACAGCCAACGATATCGATACTGGGGAACTGTGCTCGATAATCCATTAGATCCAGTTCGGCGGCCGCACAATCATCACGAACACTTAGCATAACACCGTCACCACGCGTAACTTGGTTCGCTTGTAGATCTCTATCGCTTCTGAGGACAATATAGTTGTCACCAAACAGTTCAGAGCTGTTGATATTCGGTTGAAGCCATGTTTCGGTGACAGCTATGATGTGGTATTCAGATGTAGTAGATGCAGTGAAGAATTCCTGAATCTTAGTGATGAGGCCTCTTACATTTTGATAGTAGCACTTGAGATAGTCGTGATGATCCTGTTCGGAACTCCCTACTGGTTTTTTACAATTTTCGGTTCACCATTGAGGTATTTGATTTTTAAGTTTGATTCATTATTTTGCAGACGCCGTCCCAATTCCTCTTCAATGAGTTTATAATTAGCCATTTGACGTGGTGTTTTGTCTGAGGTGACAATTATGTTTTTGAATCTTCCAGATTGCTTTAGAATTTTTCCGTTGTACATAGTATTCTGGGCGTCGTCGGCAGTTTTGAATATGACTTTGATGGGCCTGGGTCTTGGATTTCCTGGACGTCCAACTCTGTATACTTTCACAATATTCGGTTGCGCACCTGGGTTTATCTGAGTAGTGATTTCATCGATAATTTTTCCATCAGTTTCAGCATCAGTATCAGGGACCCTGAAAAGAATAATATTCTTTTTCCGAGATTCTCTGTCAGCTAATTCTGATAATATTTCTGTAGTGTTTAAAGGTTGTTCTAAGGTTGTTTTGGGGTTTTCAATCTTAGTATTCAAATTCGCATTCGCAGTTTTCAAAAGCTCAATCTCGGCTTTAATCTCTTTGATAACTTGCAAAATCGCAGGGACTTGCAAGAGTCCACTACTGCATTCTTTGCATAAAAATTTCAACACCCTTTTTTTCAGCTGCATACATTTGATTTCAGATGCAGTTAGATCGGAGCAGTTGTAAGCATGGATCGGACGTTCACATGAGTCACAGTCAAAATAAAGGTCATTGCCCCCAATGTTTTCTTTGCATACTCCACAGGATGGCATTTTCACAACAAAACACGATACAGCGTTCGAATTTTTTGTAGCGACAAGAATACGACTGACCTTATTTGTTTTTGTCCGTTTATTTTATTGCTGAGTTTTTATCAACTGATATTTGCATTTAGGGTATCTTGATACGCAATTATCACTGTAGTTGCACTTCTAGGATGTTTTGATAGTAACCCTTGCTATGAGGTGGTTGTAAAAACTTGGAGAAACACTCCAGTTTTTGTCTCACTTTTAACACTAGCCTACAACTTGTGTTAAATTGCCTCTATACTGGAGCGAAAATTTTACGTGTTTATTTGCGAACTATACACAGCACTATATAATAATAATAATAATAATAATAATAATAATAATAATAATAATAATAATAATAATAATAATAATAATAATAATAATAATAATGATAATAATAATAATAATAATAATAATAATAATAATAATAATAATAATAATACCCGCAAGGGGTATCTTGGGTTCGTGACAGGTCTTCTCCTGTCACGAAGTCAAGGTACATGGGTGAGTAACGACCCCACGGCCCTAGTTGGCGCGAAGTCTGGCGGTTTCAAAGATTCCGCCAGACAACGTGCAAACCAGCACAGTAGAGTACGCAAATCCCGGCTGCTTTACTGAAACCCATCCTGTCTTACCTGTTATCCTTCACCCGTCCTTTTCTTGCACCCTCCACCCATACTTACCTGTCCAATTCCCCAATACCAACTCAGGGACTCGCACCTAGCGGGTACGGGAATGGTAACCCCGAGGCACCCTAGCTGGACACTTACCTCACTTCAACTTGTCTTTGGTGATGGTCCTCTTCTTCTATCTCCATCTATCCTATCGGTCTCCCTTGACCACCCCTTCTTTTTCCTGACCTCTGATGACTTCAGGTTATCCAAAGTCTCAGAAAGCCTTTCAATTTCTTGGTCTACTTGGATGGAGCTCACCAGCCGTAAAAAAGCCGGAACCCAAGGTTTAAGCAATCGTGCCGATGGATGAGTGGCTAGTACGCAACTAGTCATAAGCGATGCCCTCCGGATACTAGGCGACCTCCGGTTGTATGCAGCCTTTCTGTAGTACCCAGGCTCTGCTACAGATGACTTTCTGACCTAGGTTACTCGTGGGAACCAAATGCATGATTCTTTTGGAAAAACACAAACAGAGGTGCCATCCTCTTTAAATAGTGGCAACCCCAGATCGAGCCAGGAAAAGGCGGTTACACCCCGGTTTCTGGTCGTCAAAAGGAAAGAGGGCGACTTCTCTACAGTCAGCCCTTTTATAATTGAGAGATCACTGAAAGGTATTTGCGGAACCCTGAAAATGATTAAGAAAACCAAAGCAGGTCTATTATTAGAAACCGTATCGGCTGGACAAAGCAGGAAACTTCTTAATACCACCAGAATACATGATATGGATATCGAAGTAGTCCCACACAAAACCTTAAATGAGTCCAAGGGTGTCATATACTGCCCTGATTTACTGAATTGCACTACAGATGAAATCTTGCAAGAGTTGTCGAACCAAGGTGTCCTTAACGTCTATAGGATCAAAATGAGACGAGAAGGTGAACTAACAGATTCTCCGAACCATGTATTGACCTTTAATACCCCTGTACTCCCGAAGACCATAAAAATAGCCTTCTACTCGTTAGCAGTTAGGATATATATACCGGCACCTATGAGATGTTTCCGTTGCCAGAAATTTGGTCACACATCTTTGAGATGTCAAGATAATCAAGTCTGCGTATGTGGAAAACCCTTACATGAAGGCAGCCGATGTGAAGAGCCTGTCGTATGTGTGAATTGCAAAGGAAATCATTCAGCCAGATCCAAAACATGCCCCATTTATAAACAGGAAATTGCAATACAAGAAGTGAAGGTCAAAGAAAACTTACCGTACTCTGAGGCTAAGAAAAAAGTAGTGGTTAATACTCCAACCGCAGGAGTTTCATATGCCCAGGCAGTAAACAAACCAACCTTCGATTGTAACACCCTTGTGAAAGAAATTACCCCTCTCCTGATAAAAGCCGTGATGGAAGCACTAAACCTCAACAATGCTTCTATTTCCTCGACTTTACCAAATGCAAATTTGCATTTACCTCCTCTCCCTCCAACCCCGGACCCTATGCAACCCCCCCTTAATTTGACTAGGGCAGTCGGCAAAAAGCCCAGTAGGGAAAATGAAACCTCCGAATCTGAAAAGAGGAAGAAAGTGGCATCTTCATCTGAAGATGAGATGTCTTGTTCAAACCATGAAGAATCATCTTCATCCCAAAGTAAGACTACAAAAAAGAAAAAAGGATGGCCTAAAGGCAAGTCCAGAATAAGTTCAGCGTGAAGACTCTCGACTTCCCGTAATATATTCTGTGATAATTATCGTGATATTTTTTTTTTCTGTGATATTTACTGTTATTCTTATCTGTGATACATATATATATATACATATATATTTTTGATATTTTTTCATTGTTGTCCCTAGCTTATACTTTTCAAATAACTAAATATGTATAATACAACTTCCAACTTCATTCAATGGAACTGCAACGGTCTTAGACTCCATTTACCAGAATTACAACTGCTGAGGAGCGAATGGGATCCAGTTGCTTTTGCTCTGCAGGAAACTCACTTGAGACCTGAAGAGTCATTCAGGCTCCGAGGATTCTCTTCTTTCCGCAGAGACCTCAATCATGACGGTAGAGCGAGGGGAGGTGTGGCAATTTTTCTGAGAGATACCATATTCGGAAAACAGATCACATTGAATACACAGCTACAAGCTATCGCTGTTCAAATACACACTCCACGAAAGTTGACGCTCTGCTCTATTTATCTCCCAGATCACCATTGGAATACGCAAGATGTCCAAAATATTCTACACCAATTACCTGAACCTGTCCTCATTATGGGCGACTTCAATGCACACTCTCCGGTGTGGGGTTCTGAATTGAGAGATTTCAGAGGTAGACGAATAGAAAACCTGATCGAACAAGATAATATATGCATCCTTAATTCTGGAGAATCAACCCATTTCAATGCTCGCTCTAATTCCTTCTCTGCAATTGATCTCACTTTATGTACCCCCCACGTTACTCCCTCCTTCACTTGGAACCCACTTGAAGACTTACACTCCAGTGATCATTTTCCAATTAAAATCAGCCTTGATTCTTCTGAACAAAACAGAGATTTTGGAGAAACATGGCTTATCAAAAAAGCGAATTGGAACGAATTCTCCCTCTCTGTATCTTGTCCAAATCCCGACCTTTTTGAAGAAATCAATGACGCTGTAGACGCTGTCACCAATTCAATCCTACTGGCTGCGCAGTATTCAATCCCAAAATCAAAAGGCAATAGATCTTCAAAAGCAGTCCCGTGGTGGAATGAAGATATAAAGCACGCCATAAAAAATAGAAAGAGAGCTTTGAGGGATTTCCGAAGACACCCGTCGACGAAAAAACTAATAGAATTCAAAAAATTGAGAGCACGAGCACGGAGAATGATCAAGGAGAGCCAAAAAAGGTCTTGGGAGGAATATGTCTCTTCCTTAACTGCAGATACACCCATATCTGATGTTTGGAAGAAGGTAAAAATAATATCTGGGAAAAACACTTTCAACACTCCCCAAACCCTCTTGATTGATGATGACATTGTAACTAATGCTGAAGAGATATGCGAAATTTTTGCTGACCACTATGAGTCCGTAAGTGAAACAAGAAATTATGGCCCCGAATTCCAAGTGAGAAAAACCAGGGAAGAATCTCTGCCAGTGGATTTTGCAACAGATCTCAACCTAGATTACAATGCTCCGTTCAGTCTTGATGAATTAGAATATGCTTTGAACTCTGGCGGGGATAGCGCCCCCGGTCATGACGAAATAATGTATGCGATGTTACGGCACTTACCAATTGATGGAAAACATATGTTACTGAAACTTTATAATAAAATGTGGGCTGATGGAGTTTATCCGGATAACTGGAAAGTTGCCATAATAGTACCCATTCCAAAAGCTAATCGCTTGCCTACGGATCCCAAACAATTCCGACCCATCTCATTGACTTCCTGTTTGGGAAAAACATTCGAGAAAATGATAAATTTTAGACTCACGTGGACGTTGGAATCCCAAGCTCTCCTGTCCCGACGCCAAGTTGGTTGTCGTCGGAACAATTCATGTGTCGATGCGCTTATCGCTTTAGAATCGGAAATTCGAAAAGCCTTCCTCGCAAGAGAACATCTTGTGGCAGTTATGCTCGACCTGGAGAGAGCATATGACATGACATGGCGAGATGCAATCACCAAACAATTACATGCATGGGGTTTTCGTGGCTCCTTACCCATTGTCTTGAAAAGCTTCCTACATGACAGGTTTTTTTCAGTACGAGTTGGGAACCAGTTATCATCTCGAAGATCACTGGAAAATGGCATACCACAGGGATCTACCCTCAGTGTTACGTTGTTCTCTATTGCAATTGATTGTCTCGTGAGGAACTTACCTGATACTGTGGAAGCTTTCTTGTATGTAGATGACCTCACCGTTTGTAGTCGGAACCACTCAATGGACAGGTTGAATAATATTCTACAGGAATCATTGAATAGCATTCAAAGGGTTGCAAGCGCACAAGGTTTCAAATTTTCTGCAACGAAATCACACCTCGTCCATTTCTGTAGGTTGAGATCACCACATCCAGAACCAACACTATACCTGGAAAATGAAGAAATCAGTGTAAAGGAAGAGTCGAAATTGTTGGGCATTATATTTGACCGTAAACTCACCTGGAAATCACATATCACATATGTAGCTACAAAATGTGAAAAAGCTATCAACCTGATGAGGAGCATAGGAAGCATAAGATGGGGCGCAGATAGGGAAGTCTTGATCAGAATTTACCAGGCGTTGATCCAAAGTAGAATCGACTATGGAAGTATCGTCTACGGATCTGCTAGTCCATCTATTCTGAAAGTTCTTGACCGAACCCAAAGCGCAGCAGTCCGCATCGCAACTGGGGCTTTCAGAACAAGCCCTATCCAAGCTATCCAGTCTGAATCTTCAATCCTACCCCTAACATTTCGCAGGCAAATGCAAACCATTATATATGGTGCGAAAATGCAGTATCTGCCTCGACACTTGAACCATCGCCTCTTTTGTTACCAGATTGATACTCCTGATCGCCCATATGGTAAAACAAAACCGGCGCATATTCGGTATTACGAGCAGATAGAGAATCTTTCCATATCTGATCTATCGAGTGTCATGCCATTGTCGCAAAATGTGGCACCGTGGATGAGATTTTCCCCACGAACAAACACGCAACTAGCACACTGGAAAAAAGACAACACCCCAGCACATACCTACAGATCACTATTTCTAGAACAAATGTCGCGTTACCAGAATTTCCTTGTTCTTTTCACTGACGGATCGAAGACTCATGAGGGTACAGGTGCAGCATTTGTCGTGAACGGTCAGCCATTTTCGTGGACTCTAAGTCCAAACACTAGTATTTTTTCTGCCGAAATGTACGCAATATGGCAGGCACTCTTATACTTTATGCATGTCGCGGATAATCAATGCCTTATCTGTACTGACTCCCTCAGTGCAATTCTATCTCTACAAAACCGGTTGTCTGGAAATGAATGGACAGTTCGAATACTCGAATTGATCACTCATTTCGAAACTCAGAATAAAAAAGCGGTTATCATGTGGATCCCAGGACATTGCGACATTCCAGGCAATGAAATCGCCGACAAGGCGGCAAGAGATGCAACGAATATACCTACTGATGGAGGAATACCGGTGACTTTTGATGATCTGAAATCTTCCATCAGAGAAATATTTCACAACGAGTGGCAAACAAAATGGAATGATTGTGATACTCACCTGAGACCAATAAAACCATCTATTAAAAAATGGTTGTATCCCTCAGAACTGTCTAGAAGGGAACAGGTTGTTCTATGTAGAATGAGGATTGGACACACGAACATGACTCACCTCTACCTCCTGAATGGGTCAGGCAGACCAAGATGTGATGTATGCCAATGCCGACTAACTGTTCAGCATATTCTATCATGCAGGAAGTTTGAACTTCAGAGGCAAACGACCGGAGTTGAACCTGATATAGACCTAGCGCTACGAGTTGACGGGGAACACATTTCAAAGCTGATAACTTACCTGAGAGAGACGAATCAGTTCAATAAAATATAATCCCAACATGGAAGGAGCGAATGACCATAGCAGTCGATGCTCTCACAAAAAAAAAAAAAAAATGATAATAATAATAATAATAATTTATTCGCCATTTAGGTACAGTGTGTACATATGGTAAGTCATACAATGCGTAAGTCACATGATACAATAAAACCAAATTGTAGATCATTGAGTAAAAATAACAATCGTATGAATAAATAAAATCAAAACGGATCTGACGACAGCACAACACAGGATACATATTTAAAAGTGAAACGATTAACAGTATAAATAAAATTATAGACTGAGTCCAAATGACCACGACCATATATAATTAAAATCACTGAATTGAAGTTGTATTACGGAATAGGATGACAGCACACTACAAGTAAAATAATTCACAATAATGAATCATTCAAATATTCTTGATAGGAATAGTAACATTTGTCAGTCAGCAAACATTTTATTTTGTTAAAAAATAATCTATCACATTCAGAACTTTTAATTTCCGTTGACAGTTTGTTGTAGAAACTCAGTGCTTTGTAGAGAGGTGAATTTTGGAATTTCGTGGTTTTGTGGTTTGGTATTTTTAGGTGACTACCATTGCGTGTGTTGTAAGCACGCGAAGAAGCATTGGTATCGAAGGATTTCAAGTTGCTTCTAATGCATTTCAAAGATTTCAAAATAAACACATTTCAAACATTTCAAAATATACATTCCCCACCCCATTCAACTGAAATGACGAATGATGGGAACCATGGTGAATTTGGTACTGTTAATGAATGTAGTAGTGACACTTATTCAATTTAAATTCCAGAAGATAATGTCGAGTATAATGTGGAAAAACCGAGGGAAAAACAGATGTTCGCCAAAGAGGTTGGGGATGGTAAACCTGACTTCAGCTGGAGCGAATGCTGTGGAAAATTGAAATTTTTGTTAGATTTATTTCTGCCCTTGAGAGAACTCGCGAGTAAGATTAGTAATGACACAATAGTCGACCATTACTTGATGAATATAAAAATCGATGATTTGACCACCACCCTGAAGGAAGCCTGTGATGAATTATTGGTTTCATGTCAGGGTTATTTTTTTGCCTCTGACCTCGAAAGTCAGCATTCAAAAATTGATGATGAAAGTGCAAATGGCAATTTAGTTGCACATGATCCTGGTATAAGGCAAATTATTGAAAATGAAGCACAAAGAAAATTTTTAATAGGACTAGGTCCTATTTTATCATCATTTCCAGTGCACAATGAGGAGAACAAGTTCATTTGCCGATGGTCTAAGAAGTTTCCTCTTTTGGAATACAGTACCATTAAGGATGCAGCCTTTTGCTTCATTTGTTCTCTATTCCCCAAAGGAATTGGGAGAGAAAAGGCAGAATCAGCCTGGACCAGCAAAGGAGTGAGAAAATGAAGAAGATGAGGAGTTCTGGTTTCTCAAAACATGGAAAATTGGCATTACATTCTAATTATATTGCCCACAAAAGTGCTCTTTTCGAATACAGCAACTTTCTTGTGGAATCTAGACATATTGATGTTTTCCTAGATAAGTTCAGAAGAAACAGCAGCTAGACAAGGATCAGCATTCAGGGGGAATGAAACCGATGACGAAAATTTTTCGCAAATAGTACGCCTTATGTCGAGACATGATTATATGTTGAAAAAGTGCTTGGACAACCGGAAACTTCGACCCTATCATACTACATATATGAGTTCAAAATCACAAAATGGGTTTTTCGAACTTTTAGGAGATGGAGTAAGGAAATCCATTGTTAATGAAATTCAAACAGCACCATTTATAACAGTTATGGCTGATCATACACCAGATATTCCACACGAAGATATGATATCTGTTGTTATAAGGTTCGTCGATGATCAAGGTTGTCCGAGAGAAAGACTCATTTCAACAGGACATGGAACAGCTTCAGATATTTTGAGGATTTTGAACTTGAAGAATATCGACCTTTTCAATTTATCTTTGCAATCCTATGACTTTGCTTCGGCAATGTCTGGAAAGTTTATTGGATCCTAACAAAAATTCAGTGAATCATTCGGGCGCCACATTCCTTTCATACCGTGTCAAGCCGATAGAACAAATACGGCAATGGAACATATTGTTCAGAAGCTATTCGGCTGGCCAGTGATACTTTCAACATTCTGGAAAAACTTTACGTTTTTTTCAGCAGCAGCACGAAAAGGTGTCTACCTTTGAGAAAATGAACTCGAAGATGTCGAAAATTCGTTATCACTGAATGTCAAAGACGTGATAGACAGCTCGAGCGGAATCTCTGGAAGCTGATCTTTTGAGGTCATTACAGGAAATTTAGAGGAAATCTCTTTGAATGCATCACTGGATTGGGTCACAGAATCGAAAGCATTTGGTTTATTCAAACGTATGCTGAATTTCAATTTTGTATGCAGTTTGATGTTTTCGAAAGTAATTTTTTATGAATTCGAAACTGTTACACAAATTCTTGAAAGGAAAACACTGAACATTGTTGACGCGATTGCAGAAATGAAAAGTGCAAAAAATACTCTCTGTGTTCATAAATATATTTGAGAATGTTCCTTTTCAATCCTTTCACCAAATCTAGGGGTTCAAACTTGAACGATGGAAACTTGTTATTCTCATAGACCTCAATCGCAGATTCGTGATTAGGTTTTTCTCAATTCAGAATTTCTTTCCACGTCCTGTATGATGAATATCAATTTATCATACATATAAAAAATCAGAGTTTCGCTGAATTTAACCTGACACAGTTTCATAGAAAAGAATTCTTGAGCATGTTGGATGTTCTAATTGCATTTCCAGACAGCAATATAAACGATGTCATAAAAAACTTGCAACCTATTATAAATTTATTTTCTTTGCCGTTGTCAAAAGATAAGCTTTCTATTGTGACTATTGAAGAATTATTGGCAATGTATCCATCAAGTTCACAAAACAGTTATTCCCTTCTTTGTGAATTAGAAATATTTTTCGACATATGTGTAGGAAGAGAAGTGTCATCCATGCAAGAAATAGTGCAAAAAATTGCAGTGGAACGGAAGGAATCTTTAAAACACACTTTCGTGTTATGTCAGTTCATATCCACGGCTGGTTATTCTGTTGCTTCTAATGATCGTTTTGCGATCACAAATGCAAACAGACCGTTTGAAGTCAATGATGCCCTTGAAAACGAAAAGTGACATTACTGACTCCTCAGATCTCACTAGTGTCATCAAAAGTTGGGTTCATTTGAAGAATAGGAGGATAAGGCTGGCAATATAATATTTGGAATTTTTGTTGGTTTGAATATACAATATTCAAATATTTTTCATCATATGTTTTCAGTGTCAAGTTAAATGACTTTCAGGAGAACGTCTTTTAATAATCCACAATTTACCTATGGTCACATGGCCCCCAGGGGCTCACGACTTGTGAGTACGGGAATGGCAATCCCGAGGTACCCTAGCCGGATACTCATTAATCTTCAACTTGTCTTTGATGGTATCCTCTTCACTCCTCAGTTTCTAATCTTTCTCTTCATCGGCCTTCCTTGGTCACTTCTCCTCTTTTCCTTCTTCCCTAAAGCCCAACCTCACTATAGTGCGGAAAGGACAAGCCGCGGCTGCTCGGCAGATTGAGCATTTTGGGAACATATTTGCTGTCATCACTCAGATGGGACAGTTTTGTGGACATCTGAGTGCGAGGATGGGGCAATTTGTGAACGTCTGCTTATGTGGCCGCGGATTGATAACAAGGCTCTGGCAATCCCCTCAGGGGCTCACAACCTGTGAGTACGGGAATGGTGAACCTGAGGTACCCTAGCCGGATATTCACCATACTTCAACTTGTCTTGGGTGATATCCTCTTCTCTCTTCCGTTTTCAATCTCTCTATCGGCCTTTCTTGGCCAACTTTTCTTTTCCTCTTCCCCTCCAAGCCCAACCTCACCATCAAGTGGTGTGGGGAAGGCAGGCCGCGGCCGCTTGACAGATGAAGCATTTTGGGACCATTTTTGCTATCTTCTGCCAGATGGGAAAATTTGTGGACATCTGTGGCAGGGATGGGGCGATTTGCTGATGTTTCTCTAGGTGGTCGAGGAATGGTCAACGAGGCTCTGGCAACCTAATCCAAGCTGTGGGAACCCGTGGCGATGGATGGATGGCACCGAGGAATGGTGTCGCTAACGGGGCCTCTGGGGAACAGGGCGACATCCCAGAGTAAACAGCCTCAGCCCTGTGTAGGGGGCACCACAGGGCTGGACCAACCCCTTCCTCCGTCACTCGTAGGAGAAGGAGAACTTTTGGCCTTCATATTGAAGTGGTCCTTAACAGGCACCATGAGTCGTATGTGGTGAAATTGATAACGGCATGTAGGTGAGATACAATGAGCCACTAGGCCTAAGTGTCGTCGAGCCTACAACGGGGTGGAGTGTTTAGTGGGTATACCATGGAGGGGACTCCCACACTATCATATGGGGGATTGGACCCATATGATGTCTATTAAAGATTTCAACCACCTCGGCGAAAAACAAAGAGAAAAAAAAATGGTCACATGGTGATCAATTCGTTTTATTATTTTTTTGTTCAAAACGAGAATTGGAAAATTTGAAAATGAGTTGGCAATATTCACTCAGTACCCCCCCCCCTCTCAAAAATCTTTTTTCGGTCCGTCCCTGCTTCTACGTATATTCTTATTCCATTTTGAATCTATTAGGTAGGTAACCTAACCTTTTCGAAACATAAAGAGTGATTTGAAAAGGTGACCTGTTCCACGTTGAGACTGTTGACTTTTCACGGTCATCAGTTGACATTTCGTAGTTGAAATGTTTCAGTTAGCAGTTATTGAATAGAGACTTGAATAACTGGATTTTTTCATCAATTGCTTGCTCCACTTTTTTCAATGTTTCAATTTGTTCTACTGATTTTATTATTCTGATTCCCCCTCAAAGATTAAATTTTGTGAATGCAACTTATTCTTAGGTCTCTGGAAATCTTCAAACTTGTCCGTGGTAGGTTTACTTTCTGATTAAATTTCACAGAGATCAACTATTTATTTGTGTTATTTTGACTCTCGAAAACAAGGTGAAGGTACTAATGTTTATTATTTTATTTAATTAATCATTTATTTGTTTATTTAGCATGTTTGCTTCACAAATGGCACTTGGCTTGAAAACAGGAATGAAAACAATGTTTATTATTGAATAATCCTTTTCACATCTGAATACTTCAAATGTAACCTCTTTAACGTCTATAATGAAGATATCTTGAAGATGTCTGTGTGCTATCTGGGATAGGATATCAGAAGAAATGAGTACTTTACTGTCGTAATTCACTTGCGAGAAGATCTCATTCGAAAGAATCTGTGATATAGTTGGTTCATTGAATTTTCTACTGCCCAAGGATTTTTTACTATGTGTAAGACTGAATGTTCACTGTAAGTAAAGCTCCTTCACAAATTCATGAGGTAGGAATTTCGGAAACTAGGTTAATTCACCAAAAGTAAACTGAAAACAAATCTTAGCAAACTACGAAGCTATTCTACTACAATTCAATAATTTTCATCAAAATAATGAACTTAATTTATCTTGTAGCAACTCCAAATGTTAAACAGCATTATGCAACTTTTGCAATATTTCAATGAATTCAGAATTGATGGAATGGTGTATCATGTCATCGTTGGGAATTATATTATGATCAGTGGTGTCACTTCACATTTGCCATTACCATAAACCTACAGATATAAATATCTATCAAGGATGAATAAAGTGTTTTGAAGGAGAAGAATATAATACTACTACTACCCCTGTTTAACTGTAGAACGCTGTTCTTCATTTGATTGTAAATGAATTTTGAAATATAAAGGGCAGGGCAGTATTCACAGTATTCACAGAACTCTGGCTCATGGACATGACATAATCTTGACCTACTACCTCCTGATAACTGCCTTGTGCAAGGAAAATTCGTTTCGAGTGGGCCTGGATTCCTCTTAAATGAACTTATTTGGATCACTCCCTTTATTTACCCTTAATGTAGCATGGTTTACGAGAATGTGTGATGTGATTTTTTTTTTATCGCTTGGAGCGCACGAAAGGGAATCCCTATAATGTTCAAAGAACATCGTGCGTTCCTAGGGAGGATAGGGACAGGAGGTAGGTATTGGAATTTTTTTTGAACTTTTGGAGATTATATGTTGTTGGGAATACTTCCACAGGCAATGAATTCCAGAGCCTAGCCGTTCTATGGGTGAAGGAGTCTTGATAAAGTGCTGTTCGACATCTTTCGAGGTTGACAACAAAGGGATGTGCTGACTGGGCTTGTCTAGTTCGTCTGATTGGTATTGCTAGTGAAGGGATGATAGCAGAGATTTCCGAAGAACATTTCCCGTGGAAGTATCGATAGAAAAGTGAAAGGTCGCCGACCTTTCTACGGTGTTCCAATGATGTTAAAGAGTGAGTGAGTGTGGCGTCACCTACCAGGCGAATGGCTCTTCTCTGGATGGAATCTAAGAGCATCAGCGTATGTTTTGGTGCTGAACCCCATATGTGGGAACATTATTCTAGAACAGGCCGTATCTGCGCTTTGTAGATCATGAGAAGCTGTTGAGGTGTAAAGTAGCTTTTCGCACGGAACAAGAATCCGAGTTTTTGTGAAGCAGCTTTTGCGATGGATCTGACATGATTATCCCATGAAAGAGTGTTGCTGATGGAAATACCGAGCATAGATATGGTGGGCTTGGTGGGGATGGTGGAGCCAGACATAACAATATAAGGCATACTGAGTTCCGCCTCTCTAGAGAAAATGCAGGCTTGAGTTTTGGTGGCGTTGAATTCAACTAGGTTGTTTGTTCCCCAGGCTGTGATTTCAGCAAGATCTTCATTGACAGCATTGACCTGCCTGCGCCGTGAGTTCTTAGTTTCCTGGGAAGAAATGGGAATTCTGGAAGAGAACGCAGTATGGAGGGTACTATCATCTGCAAAGCTGTGGATGGGGCAAGTTGTTACTCCCAACAGATCATTGATATGGAGCAGGAATATTGTTGGTGCCA